TTCTGAAGCCTTTTCTTTTTTAAAAAAATATTTTATTTATTTATTTTTAGAGATGGGGTCTTGCTATGTTACCCAGGCTGGAGAGCAGTGGCTATTCACAGGCATGAACACTAAATACTGCAACCTTGAATTCCTGGCCTCCAGTGATCCTCCTGCCTTAGCCTCCTGAACCCTTTTCTTTTAGAGACAGCATCTTGCTCTGTTGCCCAGACCGGAGTGCAGTGGCGCAATCATTGCTCACTGCAGCCTCGAACTCCTGGGTTCAAGTGATCCTCCTGCCTCAGCCTCCCTGAATAGCCAGGACTACAGGCATGTGCCACCATGCCTGATGAATTTTTCTATTTGTTGTAGAGATGGGATCTTGCTCTGTTGCCCAGCCTGGTCTAGTCTCAGGTGATCTTCCCTGCGTGGCCTTTCAAAGTGTTGGGATTACAGACATGAGCCACTGTGCCCAGCAAGGCTTCCTTTGGAGATTGACTTGTGCAGTCACGGGTGGCTCAACTAAGACTATTAGGAAGAGGATTTTATTTTGGTCTGAAGAAATGAACCCTAGCTTGTGTGTCTCGCACTGGGTTCAGTTGTCCAGCTGTTCTGTCCAACTCCAAGGGTGGAGAGGCCTCGCTACCCTTCTCAGAAAGCTGCTCTTGGTGCTCAGAAAGGGGAACAGCCTGGCTCTGGGCTGCTGGCCTGACTCACTGAGCACTGATTTGCATTTGGGAGATGCCTGGGCAGTCCAGGAACCCACTTCCCACCTGGCTCATTCTACTTGGAATGGGAAAGAAAATTGGCCTTTGTTTTTCCTTGCTTTATCTTAATTAGATTTTCCTTTAAACAGACCTTGGGAAGGGGGCCTTGAAATCCTGAGCTGGTCGAACCTGATAGGGTTTTGTCAGGGAACAAGAAACTCTGATGTTTCCAAGCAGCAGAATCTTCCCCACCCCAGCTGTGAAACTTACACAACAAAAACAAAATGGTATTTCCCACTATTTGCGAAGTACATGGCAGTGGGAACTCTAAGAGAATTTCCCTATCGTTATCATCATGTTATTTCCTCCCCCGAAAGTTTTTTTTTTCTTCTTCTTCCTCCCTGTTTTTTGGCAAATGTTACCCAGCTACAGACTGTTAGGCCCTGCTCTGAGACACATGCCTGGGACCTAAGGGCTCCCCACGGGATTCCTGGAGGGAGTGGCTGGGAGTGATGCAGAAGAAAGCAGGAGAGGCCAAGGTTGACATGGGGATAGGAAAAGAAAGCCTCCCCCAGCTTGTGAGTGCTTAGTCATGTTTGGTTCAGGGAGTCGGTCTGTGCCAGGAGGAGCTGGGAGGCAGCCAAGCCCTGAGCCGAGGGAGTCCCCGCTGATCCTGCCAAGGCTGAGCGCCCTGAGTCATGAAACCTGGGGTGGGCAGTGACCTGAGGCAGAGTCCCAGAGGTGCCACCGAAAAACTCTGGTTTCCCAGGTCCATTGCTGCGGGCCTTAGAGAAGCTGAAAGGATCTTGTTTATTTGGTGATTGTCCTTCTCCCCCTGCTTTGGACTGGATGTGCCAGGGTGGCAGGGACCTTACCTGTTGCATTCACCACTGTATCCCAGCCTGGAGCATAGTAGGCCCTCGGGACATACCTGTTGAGTGAATGAGGGAAGGAACTTGCTGCCTGTCTTTGCTGAATTCATCATCATCCATGCCCCTGCTTGTATAATGCTGGCTCCACCAGGGCCCCAGCCTGGTTGGTTGGTTCACTTCTGCAGCCTCAGCACCTCACTCAGTGCCCTGCACGCAGTAGGTGCTTAAGGCAGACACTTTTAGATGCCCACCCACACTAGTTCCCCTTCTCTCATGACAACAGAACTCCAAGTTGTCCAGGCAGCCATGTGCCAGGGGATGGAGCAGGAAGTTCTTAGTTGATGGTGGCAATTTTTGCTTTGGGTCAGGCACATTCAAGGCTGGTGACTTCTGACCCAGTTCTGATCTGCTGGGGACTTAAGTTTTTTTCTCCCCGAAAGAAGAGGCATGGAGGAGAGAGAGTCCCCTTTGTTGTTTGCTTTCCTGCTTTGGAATTGTTGGGTGAGGAGGTGATGTATTTGTTTCAGCAGCCCTTTTGTGATTCTGAGGCCCCAACCCTTGGGAGAAAAGGCCACCATGGTGAGGATAGCAGTGTCAAAGGTGACATGGTCACAATGATACCAAGTCCTGAGCCGCCTCAGGAACCAACCTCCTCTGGACTTCCTGCTCAATAAATAATGTCCTTATGTTTTAAGTCCATTTTTCTCCTCCTTGCAGCCAAATGCATCCTAATGCATTACTCAGTCCATGAGTTGAATAAACAAAGGCCTTCACTTACTGAGCATTTACTATGTGCTCTGAGCACCTTCTGTGTATTCACTCAGGAATCCTGCCACAACCTTGTGACGTAGGTACTGGCACTATCCACAGTTCACTGATAAAGCACAGAGAGCTTAAGTACCTTAGTAAAAGCTGTCTCATCTTTCAGTGGAAGAGGACGGAGGGAGAGGAATATCCCAAAGGAATCTGAGAGAGTAACAGAGTGGCTGAGACATGGGGGTGGGCCAGGGTGGGCTCCATCCCCAAATGTGGAAATGTTTTTGGGTGGGGCCAAGTCTTGGGTGAAGCATGGGAGTTGTGTGTGAACTTGAAGCTAACCTTTCTTGGCCAAGGGCTGAGAAGGGGAGTAACCTTTGCTGAGCACCTACTGTGTACCAGCTATCTGTGCGAGGTATCTTCTATCTGTGGCTTCCAACTGGGGGTGATGCTGTTCCCCAGGGGAAGTTCGGCAATGCTGGGAGACATTTTTGGTTCTCACAACTGGGGAGGGAGTGCTACTGGCACCTAGTGGGTGTGGGATACTGCTGAATGTCCTACAATGTGCAGGGTGGCCTCCCCACAACAAAGAATTATCTGATCCCAAATGTCAACAGTCCTGAGGTTGAGAAACTGCATTACATACACTTAGCTCTCACAAAGACTCCCAGTTTACAGATTGGACAACAGAGGCTCAGAGTGATGAAGTGTCTTGGCCAACGTCACCCAGGCGGTTAGATCTGAAGCTGGGATACAAATGCAAGCCTGTTTCATTCCGTGGCCCATGTTGCTCCCACTAGGCTCTGTCCTTGTGGTGGAGAGGATTAATTTAAAGATGAGGCAATTGAGGCTCAGAGAGGTGTCATGACCATTCTAAGGTCAGAAGCAAGAGCTACTCCAGTCAAATGCCACCTGGCCTATGATCCCAAAGAAACAGAGCTCAGGGTGGGCAGAAGCCACCCTGTCCTCTCCCTGTGTCCTTAGGCACTTGCAGTATTTACCCAGAGGCCAATGGGAGAAAAGTCCTAGGTGTTTGGAACAGAGATTAAAAAGCAGTAATATTCACGATCCCAAAATGGTTATAGTCTAGAGGAGGATATTGTGTGAAATCAGCTCATCCACTGCAGAGACAATACAGTCTTCTGGTCTGGCAAGAGGAGTGGGTTAGGGATCACATGGGTACAGTGGGGCTAGGCCAAATAGGCAGTTCACACACGCAATAATAATAAGAAATGTTTACAGCAAACTATCTAGGTGCTGGGTACTGTTCCAAGGACTTCCCACGGATTAACACATAGCCCTGTTCAGGACCCTATGAGCTAGGTGCCATTATTTATTTATTTGAGACAGAGTCTCCCTTTGTCCCTTGGGCTAGAGTGTCCTGGCATCAGCCTAGCTCACAGCAACCTCAAACTCCTGGGCTCAAGCCATCCTCTGCCGCAGGCTCCTGAGTAGCTGGGACTAGAGGTGCCTGCCACCACACCAGGCTAATTTTTTCCATTTTTAGTAGAGATGGGGGTCTCACTGTTGGTCAGGCTGATCTTGAACTCCTGAGCTAAAGCGATCCTCCCGCCTGGGCCTCCCAGAGTGCTGGGATTACAGGCAAGAGCCAGTGCGCCCGGCCAGGTGCTATTATTATTTCCTTAGTATTGATAAAAACAACACTGAGGATCTGAGGCAAGGAAACCAGCCCAAGGTCATCCAGCTAGGGAGGAGCTGGGATTCGAACCTGCGCAACGGACGCTAGGCCCCAGAACTCCCTCACCTCTCCATACCTTCCTGTAAGGCGAGTGAGGACATTTGTGGAGCGGCTCAATTATCAAGGTCACGCAGCACAGGCAGCCCGACTAGAAGCTGCGGGGTGGGGGATGGAGGCGGGGCGGGGGCAGGGCACCTGCCACTGATCAATAACTGAGAGCGGATAATAATTTCTTCTGGGAGAGGTGGAAAGGGCAGGGCCACGGGGCAAAGAAGTTGAGGAAGAAGGAAAGGGAAAAGTGCGGTTTAGCGCGAGCCGTGCACGTTTCTTCCCAAGGTCGTGGCAGCGCCCGAGGGCACGCAAGGGCCCGGGGTCCCCGGGAGGAGCCGTCGCCTCCCGGCGGGGCCGCCCCCTTTCTTCCCAGGCCGGCGGGGGCGCGCTTGCTCCGCGCCGCTCCGCCGCAGGCCGCTCCGACCCGGGCTTCCTCGGCCGGACCCGCGTGCGTGTGGCTGCGCGCGGCGGGCGTCGCTAGTGCCAGCGGGATGGCGCGGCCCGCGCGCGCCGAGGCGCCACGCGTCCGGGCGCGGAGTCGGCGCGCCCCGCACGGCTGCGCGGGCCTTCCGGGGGCCCGCCCGGCCGCGCCAGCTTCCGACGTAGGCGCGAGCGCCGCGGCGCGTCTGCAGGGCCCGTGCGCGCGCGGAGCGCCTCTGCGGCCGAGCGCGGCGTGGCACTTGGCAGACGCTCCCTGGGCGGCGGGGCGGGGCGGCGGCGGGGCCGGCCGTCTGGGAGCCCGAGGGCCGGCCCCTCCCGCCCTGGGCCAGCCTCCGCTCGCTGCCTCCGCCCGCCGGGCGCCGCCCCGGTCGCCCGCCGCGCGCCGAGCGCCCGCGCCGCTGAGCCCGCCAGCCGGCGCGCCCGTCCGGGATGGGGCGCCTGGACGCCTGAGTCGCCGATCCGCACGGTCTCCGCGCGGGGCAAGGACCGGCGCCGCGCGGCCGCGCCAGCATGGAGGCACCCGGCGGCAGCGGCGGCGGCGACCCCAGCGGCGACGGGGCAGGGGACGGTGCCCACCCGGATCCCCGGACCCCCGGCGCCTCTGCGCCCAGCTCCGGCCCGTGCGCGGCCGCCCGGGAGTCGGAGCGCCAGCTGCGCCTCCGCCTCTGCGTGCTCAACGAGATCCTGGGCACGGAGAGGGACTACGTGGGCACCTTGCGCTTCTTGCAGTCGGTGAGTGTGCCCGCGCGCGGCAGCCTTCGCTCCGCCGCCGGCCGCGGCTGCGGCCCCCGCTCCCTGTGGCCGCGGACCCCGGGGTCCGGAGTCGCCGCGGGGGCGCCCGCGGGGCGCGCGGAGAAGTGGGGGAGACCCGGCTGCTCGGAGCTGTGCTGTCGCCTCCCCGGCCCGCCCGCGCCCGTCCCGACCCGGGGTCTCCCGCACGCCGTTTCCCACCCTGCGCGCGCTGCCCTTTTGTCTTTTCCTCCCTCTCCCCGCCTTGCGAATAGTTTTAAAATTAGTTACATCCGTGAGGCAGGGGCTCTGGAACCCCGGCGCCGGGAGCTTTCGCTCCTGCGTCGTTTTCCCGGGAACAACTTCGCCGCCTGCTGTACCACAGACTACTCATCCAGGACAGACCTTAGGAATGCTAGAGGCCCCGTCCCGAATAGCGTAGGATAAAACCCGAGGCCGGGAGGAGGGATCGAAACTGACAAAACCCCAGGGTAGAATCTCCCATGCACACGTTTGCTGGAGTTCGGGGAGAGTGGGTTTCGAACTCACGACTCGGCAGTCCAGCCTCCCTAACCTCCCCTCCCCCTCATTCTCCAAGTTGCAAAACCACAGGCTCAGACTTTGTGAAATAACAGCTGAGCGCTTGCTATGTGCCGGGCACCCTGCACGTGTCATTAACTAGCAGGTTTCACAAGTGGCCCATGAGGTAGGGACGGGAATTTCCCCCAGTGTTTAGATGCGGAGGATTTAGCTCCAGAGAGGCTGAGTAACTCGCCCAGGATCACACAGTTGGTTAAGTCGGGATACCGGGCTTTGAACTGAAGCAGTCCCAGCGGCTGCTCTAAACCCTGTTCTATGCTGTGTTTCTTTTTATTTTTTTCTGTGTGAGAGAGGAAGGGGCCACTTCCCTACTCTCCTAGGAAGTGAGAAAACTGGCTAGGGGGTGGCGGGGGTGGGACAGAGGTAGAGCCTGGGGTGGAAGTTAGGAGACTGCAGGGCCTTTAATCTCCATGCCTCCTGCTGGGACCTCATTTACTCCCCTCCCCTGCTCGAGGAAGTCTTTTAATCCTGGTTCAGGAAGGGCTGATGCGGGGGTGGCTCTTTCAGAGACCCCAGAGCCAGGCTCTGCAGCTCCCAGTCTCTGGGGCAAAGAGACAGACTCTGGGACCCTCTGGGGCTCCCCTGGCTTAGGGGATCGGGATTTCAACCCAGGGAGAAGGGAGCCCCAGAGCCCTTCTCCTGTGAAAGGAGGGGTGTGGGGGGTAGGGAGGGGGGCTGTACAGAGGCATTGAAAACCATTTGGCCAAAGGACCCTTCTAGAACGACTTATAAGAGTAAGGCAGGGTTGGCTCTCTTTCCCATGTCTTCCTCTCTCACAGTTTTGGGGGATGTGGGGGGTGGGAAGAATCTGCTCAATTTGAAGCTGGCAGTTTCTGAATTAAAGATGCAGACAGCCCCGGTATCTTTGAGCAATGTCAAATTCTAGGGAACTCCTCACTTCTCCTTCTGAGCCACTCCCGCTCCTGAGTCTGGAAGAGAAACAGGAAACACAAACCAATTTTTATATTAATGGGAAAAAAATATACCTCTCCCTCCTACACCCCTGCCCTAGATGGTGTGTTTCCTTTCAGAAAAGATACAGATTGTGTGTGATGAGCTGTGGTTTTAAATCGTCCACGTGTTGAGTTGGAGGACGCTGGAATAATGGAAATTGATTGGAGTCAACCATTCTTATGCTTAAAGAAACGGGGGGAAAAAAGATTTCTCTACTTCCACATTGCCTCCTGACACTTTTAATATGCCGAGCTCATCACATTTTTTGTTGTTGTTGATGTGTCAGTTTTGAGATGAGTTGGTTCTGCCTTTGACATGTGTCTTGGACCAATCACGCCACCTGTCCTGACCTCAGTTTCCTTACCTGTAAAATAATAGGAGGAGGGGGGATCCAGGTTTGCTTCCTGCCTTGTCCTTTTGTGTGTCCCCAAGCTAGTGACAGAAACGGACTGATTGTGTAACCTGACCAGCCATACCTCGTTTGCGAGCCTCAGGAGTCCTGCTCCATGAGGAATGGCCCCTAAACAACCCAAGGAAGGCCTTTTAGTTTTGAAAACCTGGGGAATAGAGCTCCGGGAACTGCTAATTACCGCGGCTTTCCATGGCAGGAGGCTGGCAGCCTGCAGGTTGTGATTTTCTTCTTCTTCCCACTCTCTCTTCCCAGCCTCTGTACTTGCTGAGGGATTTTCCCCCCTGCCTCCTGGCTCGGAAGCGTGCATGGTAATCCCCCTTTGCTTTTAATTCCATGTGGTGGAGGCAGGCCTTCAGCGCTGGCCTTCCTGTGCCCCTGGTTTGGAGGTGCTGTCAGCCACTGGAAAGGCCGCCTCTGTGATAGGCTGAGCGTTGTGGGAGGTGCCGAGAAGCCAGGTCTGGCTCCTGCCCTCCAGGAGGGGACAGTCTAGTTGAGGGTGGCAAAACGGGCATTTAAAAAAATCCAAGTACGAGGCTGGGCTCTGGAGCCAGAGTGCTTAGGGTTAAGTCCTTGGACTTGTTACCTTGGGCAAGTGGCTTAACCTTTTTGAGCCTTGCTTTCCTCATTTGTAAAATGGGAGATGATAATAGATCCTATTTTACAGGTTTTTCAAAAAAGGATAAGTGAGACATAAGTTGATATAAAGCATGTAGAACTGTGCCTGGCAAGTAGTAAGGTATATAAATACTAATTATTATGATTGTTATTTGATAGTAGGGTTATGGGATTTCAGCATGCAGAGAGCAAGGGTGGTCAGGGAGGGCTGCCTGGAGGAAGTGAGGTCCCAGTCAACAGTGAAAGGAGGACAGGGGGCTCTGAGTGAGTTTCCTTTTGACCCTCTAAGTTCCAGCCACAGGATCTAGCGGTTTTATTTGGTTCCGGGCCTGGGGCTTTGCGGTTCTCCAGAATCTCACCATCTTTCCCATCTTCTTCAGGAATGGGATTGCACAAGGGGTCCTGTGAGTTTGGTGTTTTGTGTGCATTTATTAAAGAATCGTGAAAAGGCAAGGACAGCCCCTCTCATCCAGATGCTGGATCTGTCTGTCTTGGAGGCCACCATAGGAGTTGTGGGAGACAGTGCCTGCTTTTTGACTTGGAACCTTGGATCTCCGCATTTAGAAGCCCTGGCCGTGCTCTTGGGCAGTGTTAGTCACGATGAAAACAATGACAATCATTACTGTGTAGAAACTGACACCTATTTATCATTTACCATTCTGAGCACTTTGCATGTGTCAACTCATTTAATCTTCTCTATGAAGGGGGCGCTGTTGTTACCTTCATTAACAGAGGAGGAAACCGAGGCAAAGCATATTTAAGTGAGCTGCCCTGGGTCGTGTAGACAGCATTGCCAGGATTTGATCTCAGGCTGCCTGACCCTAGAACTCATGTCCCCAGCCACCTTGCAGACTGCCTCTGGCTTGTAAAATAAGGGCTTGGCACATGATTTGTTAAGGTGGCAGAACTGGGATTTGAACCCAGGTCTCTGTGACCCTTAACCTCCTTCTGTGCTTCTTCCTGTTACTTCCCCTCTGTGACATCTGTTCTCTCATCTGCAGAATGGGCGGAATGTGGAAGATTGGGAATGGCAGGCTGCGGGTTCCTCCTCTGTGCTCTGTGTCTGTTTGTGGCGTGAGGGTTGAGTGGGGCTCCGGAGCCAGTCTGCTGGGGTTCAGGTCCTGGCTTTCCCCGACACCAACTTGTAGGTGACCCTGGCAGGTCATTGACCTGCTCTGTGCCTCAGTTGCCCCTTCTTTACAATGGGCATAGTACAGCAGCTGCGTCACAGAGGTGTCACGGAGCTTGGACGAGCCTGAGGTAAAGCTCTTATAACAGTGCGAGGAATGTTGGGGGTCTGGAATGTTGTGGTGACTTTTTTGGGGATATGCAGCAATGAGATTGTCTCTTTGGGGCTCAAAGGCTCCCGAGGCCTGAGTAAGCCTTGGGCCCACCTGCCTCTTGGTTGGATTGGCTCAGGGTCTCTGCTTGCACAGGGAGTGACCTCCGGGGCAGGTGCCAATGGCTCCATGGCGGGTGTGCCCGCCGGGCAGCGGTGGGGAGCAAGGGGGGCACAGGTGGGTGGGCAGAGAGACCCTTGGCTGGGGGTCAGTCCGCAGTTTTCTGGAAGGCTCCTTGTGACTGAGGACAGGGACCCGTCACCCCTAGGCACCCAGAGGGTCTGCCCTGAATCGGCTGGGGTCTCTGAGGAACAGAGATTGTGGACAGAAAGCTCCCAGAATGCTTGCCCTGGTTCTGCTTTCCGGAGGAAGGAGACCGAAGTTTTTCTTCTCGTTGGAGCTCTGCTTGCCAAACAAGAAATTGTGGTTTTGCGTTGTCACTATTTTTTGTTTTTTGAAAGATTCTGTCCTTCTAGCCTCGCACTGGGGAGACGTGCTGGGGTGGGGGTGGTGGCGGTGGGGCGGGCACGCCTTTGATTCTGCAGCCAGAGACAGAGTGACCTCCCCAGTGACCTGGGGGATTTTCATGTGGTCCTGTTGTGAAAAGTAGGATGCTAAGAAATATACATAACACAATTCCGCTTTTGGGAGGTAAACAATAACCAAACTCGTGTGTGTCGTATGGGTAAGGTTACGGGAGCGCAGAGAAAAGGAAGTGGAGAAAAGCAACCATGAAGATATAAAAGGGGCCGGGCGCTGTGGCTCACGCCTGTAATCCTAGCTCTTGGGAGGCCGAGGCGGGCGGATTGCTCAAGGTCAGGAGTTCAAAACCAGCCTGAGCAAGAGCGAGACCCCGTCTCTACTATAAAATAGAAAGAAATTAATTGGCCAACTGATGTATATAAAAAATTAGCCGGGCATGGTGGCGCATGCCTGTAGTCCCAGCTACTCGGGAGGCTGAGGCAGGAGGATCGCTTGAGCCCAGGAGTTTGAGGTTGCTGTGAGCTAGGCTGACGCCACGGCACTCACTCTAGCCTGGACAACAAAGTGAGACTCTGTCTCAAAAAAAAAAAAAAAAAAAA